GGCAACCGACTTGTTGACACTTACCTTTTCAAGGATCAATATTTAAGTGGGAATTGAATTATAAGAAATGTTCACTGTCCTTGAAAATCTATTGGTAAATATGGTAGGGAGTAGGGTAGGAGGGTAGAAGGTTGATAAGAGCTGTTTTTTAGTGTCTGAGGTAGACTAGGACAATCACGTTGATTTCTAAAGTCACAGGTCTCCTTGCAAAATGGCATAAAGTGAATCCTATGGTACACATTCAATGAATGTTTTTTGATTAAAATATAAAAACTTGCTTGTATATGCTACATAGGCATTTATAGATCAGGATCATTTAAGGGCCATTAAAATTAGGCAAAGTTACTGTATACTTATATTTATTTGTTCTTTTTATTTTTTATTACGAAATATTCCAAATATACTCAAAATTATAAAGAATATAAAAACATTACTCATATACCCATCATACAGACTAAAAAATTAGCAACATGCTACATTTCTTCTTTCAAATATATCCATCCCTCTCAACTTCTCCAGTGATTTTTCTTTTGCTGGAGTAATGTTTATTCAAAACTAAACTGATTATTCACATTTGAATAATCAAAGTAAATTTCATACCTCTGGACTGGATAAATACACTAAGAAACTCTTTAGAAATACTTTATGAGGCATTCAGATTTTGAGAACCTCATTTATTTCAATTACTCTTTATCATTTTTCTCCTGCTGTGCCTCCATTGAAAAAATGGGGGTGATTCTCAGACTGGCACTGCCTCTAAAAATATGACTCACTTCTCTACAATTATTCTTTTACCAACCCATTAAAATGTTGAGAAATTCAACTAATTACTTTTGAGGTAGGCCAAAGAAAAATTTAAAAATGAGTGATCAGGCCGGGCGCGGTGGCTCACGCCTGTAATCCTAGCACTCTGGGAGGCCGAGGCGGGCGGATTGCTCGAGGTCAGGAGTTTGAAACCAGCCTGAGCAAGAGCAAGACCCCGTCTCTACTATAAATAGAAAGAAATTAATTGGCCAACTAATATATATAGAAAAAATTAGCCGGGCATGGTGGTGCATGCCTGTAGTCCCAGCTACTCAGGCGGCTGAGGCAGGAGGATTGCTTGAGCCCAGGAGTCTGAGGTTGCTGTGAGCTAGGCTGACGCCACGGCACTCACTCTAGCCTGGGCAACAAAGTGAGACTCTGTCTCAAAAAAAAAAAAAAAAAAAAAAAAAAAAAAATGAGTGATCAGCTACCGAAAGGTCATATACAGTAAACTTTCTCTGTAGTGATTCAAATGGATGGGAAATATTACTAAATAGTTCATATCTTTATTTTGAAGAACAATGGAATCAATATGTAATACTAACTTTTAATAAGGTCAATAAAGCATACAGAAATCATTCATAATTACCTTTAAGTGGTAGCAAACTGAGGGTTTTAGGTGAAAACTGACATTGTCAAATTAAGAGACTTATTTACTATGAATGTCACTGGCCTATCAATTACACAAAATAACCTATATGGATTAGATTTCTCACTTGGCACATATTAGAAGTCAGTGGCCACTAAGAAATCTGAAAAACAGGCTTATTATTCACAAACGAATGCTGACTATTTTCACTTATGAATTTCTGGAATGGATTTATATATCTTTGAGCTGACAAAAGGCTGCTTAATTCATCTAGAACAGTGGTTTCCAAACTTTTGTTTTTCATACCAAAGTACACGAGAGGTAATATGCAAAACTTCCATCTACCCCATCAATCCCAATAGCTCCCTAACACCTGTTGCATAAATAAGTCACCACTTATGCTTAGATCTAGGCCTCTGCTCAGTGGAATTCCATCTATTTCTCTTCTACTCATCTATATGTGAGTTGAGAACCACTGACTCAGATAGTATCCACAAAGAACATAAAGAAAGTCAATCTGATATGTATTAATACTTGAAAGAGTGGGACACCTACAGGAAAGGACATCAGGGACAAGGAGAAGTTCTATTACCCCTAAAGTATGCCTTAACAATTTGTTGACTTGTGCATTAAATAGTGCAAGGGCTTTGTTTAAAAGTAAATAGACTGTCAGCTGTCATGATCTAGAAGGAACAATACCCCAATAGAAATGAACAAACCTAGCAACAAAACCTGGGTTTCTAATATCATTCCCCATTTAAAAAAAATCAGAGCTCTTTAGAAAAAATGGTTGATTCTAGAATTGAGGCAGGAAATATACAAGATAAGCCTGAATCACCTTTCCAAAGTATAAGGAAACACTTAAAATATGAAAACTCAAAATGATGGGGTTATATCAAACGGACAAATGAGCCAACTGAAATGGCCAAAGGTAAAAGAATTTGAGCAAGAAAATAAAGTGGTATTGCATTATAACCCAATGTATAATATAAATATCCATGAGTGCATACTCATATAAATAAATGATTAAATAAATAAATAAATGGAGAAGATACAAATCTCTCATGCAGAAGAATTCCAAATAATTAATGTAGATAGTGCACTTTTCAGGAGGGGGAGTACAATTCCCCCTTTGAAGTGTGGAATGTGAATAATGACTTTCTTCCAAATACTACAGTATGAAAAGGGAGAAAAAAAGAGTCACTTTACAGTGGAGAAAGACAAATAATACCTCGAGCCAGATGATCAAGGTCAACATCAACAGCGAGGAGTCCTATTGATATTTTTATGCCCTTGATACAATATGATGAGAATCATATTATTCCTTTGTGGCCTTCCTCCCCAAAACATATTATCCCAGCCTAACCATGAGAAAAATATTAGATAAATCCCAATTGAGGGACATTCTACAAAATATCTGACCAGTACACCTCAAACTGTCAAGGTCATCAAAAACAAAGAAAGTTTGAGGAACTGCCAGAGCCAAGAAAAGCTTAAGGGAACATGACAACTAAATGTAATGTGGTATCAGAGACGGGATCCTGAAATAGATAAGGGCTTTGAGGAAAAACTCAGGAAATCTGAAAAAAGTATGGACTTTAGTTAACAACAATATACAATGGTCAGTTGATTAATTGTAACAAATGTACCACAGTCATGTAAAATGTTAATAAAAAGGGAAAACTGGGTATAGAGTATTATAGGAACTCTATTATTTTTGCAACATTAATAATTCTGTAATTCTAAAACTATTGTAAACTTTTCAAGCTGATTTCAAAGCAAATAGTGGCTTTTGTAAACACAACACTTATTATAGGGTCAAAAAACTGGAAACAAAATATACGCTCGTCAATAGGGAAATAATTGACTCAATCGTATCATAGAATATTAAGCACATCAGAAAATTATACACTTAAAATAAGGAGTGAGTTCTCTAGAAATTGACATAGCGTGATTTCAATTATATATATTTTACTAAGGAAATGCAGAGATCTCTATAACCCTTTAATTTTGTTAAATAATGAGGGGGGAATCTCCATGTAAATATGTTTGTATAACATAAAAAGTAGGGAAATGTATATAAGGATAAACACTAAGTTGTTAACATTGCTAGGAACAGGGGAATGAAATGAAACGGGAGAAGGGAAAACAAGAGAAGTAACAAGAGTGAGGATGTAAGTAGGACCGGGGACGTAGCAATGATTAGTTCAATAATTCATCATAAGCTTGCCACCTGCATACAGTGCACTGATACCTTGCACATAAAACTTTAAATCTGTGAAAACAAAAAAATGCAAATAGGGGAAGGGGGAGGAAAAGAAGGAGATTTTCAGATGGCAGGTTTCAGTGAGGGTAGAGGATAGAGAGACTACAAGCAGGGAAAGAGTAGCAGCACCCTGGAGAATACAGTGTCAGTCACTAAAGCTGAATTACACCTACTTCTCAATTTTGCCAAGAGCTGCAAATATCAGGTAGAAGAAAATATCGCTTATCACTAAGGGTGTGATCAGAATGATTGCTATTCTGCCAAGATCCTGGGGATTCTGCCTACCACAAACAGAGACTGAACTTACCATTTGTTCCGCGAATCTCCCATGAACCCAAATCACAAAATTGATTCTTAGAAAACCTAGAAGGCACTCTATTTATACAGCACCTTGTTTTCCTGGCCTTTTCAACAATGAGGACTAGCCAGGGGCTTCCAAGTGCTTTTCATGAAGCAGTGATATAGCTTTAGCATCAAAGTCTACAGGATACTAAAATAGGGAAGGTCTGCATTTCCAAGAAGTTAAAATCAAATAGTAGAGTGCAGGTCCCTGGTGAGCAAGATCAAAGATTCCCAAAATGGCAGAATTGAGAGGTGGCTTAAAGGTCATCTAAGCTACCTACTTCAATACCCAACCCACTCTCTATCTGTGATGCTACATGATCCTAGCACAGGGGTGGAGGGGGAAGGGAGAACATATTGTAGAATCCCTAAAAAAAAGAAAGAAAGAAAGAAAGAAACCAGCTTTCTTTTCAGTATAAATTTCTTGCAAGGATTGTATCTGTGATCTCTCTCCAGTATAGTACCCTGAAAATCAGGATGACTATATTTACTGGGCTCCATGCTGAATATTTAGATACAATGGACTCAAATGTACAGTACAAAATCGACAAAAGATTTCACCAGTAGAACATTTGCTAAGATATCTCCCAGCAGCATTTGAAGGTATTTTCCATCAACAAGGAAGATGAGACATTGGCCTAAATGCTACTTTAGGTCATTTTCATGGCCAGATATCAAGATCATTGAGCCAACTGGCTATAAGCAGTAAAAATAACTGCTAATATAAGACCCTGGAGGTGGGATTATGGAAGAAATTAGTCACAAAATATTCTAAATCAAATAACCACACAGAAAATGAGAGTCCCATTTTATGAAAATCTGATAAGAATTTGCTATGAAGTTCCAGTAGAGAATTAGAATTGAATTTATTGAAACTCCACATGCACTACAATCTTTCGAGAACACATCCACTGTAATGTGAGACACACCTACACAAACTACAGACCCAATCAAAGGACTCAGCCTTGCAATTGAAAAATATTTTCACACAACACTCACCTTAAAACACAAGTGTAGAATCCACTGTCTTGTGCTTCAGCTGAGTGAAACCATATTGAGTCTTCCTCTTTGCTCATCCTGACCTCTGAAAAGATGATGGGCTCTTCCAAGTCACCTTTGTTTTTGTACCACATAAGTCTGAGCCCAGTGCTCTGGGCCATGCTATAGTTGGTGCGAATATAACTGTAGAAAAGGGCACATTTCACTCGGACTGGTTCACCCACCAACGCCATGTATGTCTTGAGATCCACTGACCAGTCAATGCAGCCATCCACTGAAAGAAAATCAGAAGAGGCATGACATGCAGTGAGCAGTAATGCTAATAACAGTAACAACAATAATCATTCCCAACATGAACTGAGTCAAGTGCTTTCCACAGATTATTTCATTCAGTCTTCCCAGTGACCCCAAGAGATAGATTAATATCTTGCTTAGATCATAGCAAGCAGAAACTCTGCTCTAGCCCTGTGCCTTTGAAGTCTTTTGCAATTGTCTGCAGCAACCCTCTGCTTGGGGTAGACCAGATGCTCCAAGGAGTTCCAGCACACATGCCTATAAGGTTATCCTGGGACAACATGGCCAGGTACCAATTCCAAAAGAGTGGCCTCACAGGTGGTTCACTTCTGCTAGCCATGCAGTATTTTCCGTCACATAATCATGTGAAATTGGACTGCTAGAATGACACTGACATGTTGCTTTCAGGTGACTTGTATTGTTTATATGAGAGGCCACAAAAAAAAAACATTCCCAAGAGACCTCTGCACAATTTAGGCGCAGCCCTGAGATTAATGCTTTTATTCTTATTTGCCAGATGAAGACAATGAGATCCTGAGAATTTAAATGACTCTTCCCAGGGTCATTTAACCCCTACCCTATATCGCCAATGCCTAGAATTGTGACAACCACCACTGTGTTATTTATTTGCTTTTGAGAAAGTAAATACCGAGGTTGAAAGCAGTGGCACCTAAAGTGATTATCTGCTATTATATACATGCCACTTTTCCATGGTATGTCCTATTAATAGCAGATATTTAATCACAAGTCGATTTCTCTTTATACCCTTAGGCTTCCCTTGCTGCTTAGCTGCTATGTGCTCATGGGAATATATTATATTAATGTCAGCTTTAATCAAATAATATAAGGTGAATAAATCAACCATTAAAGAAACACATATATAGTAAATTCCTTCTTTTCCAGAAGAGTTAAAAGTGAGGTGCTGTGGCTAATTTTCTATGCTAATCAATATAATTAGCATGGATATTTTATCTCCAATTGCTTCTTTTCAAAGAATTTCATCACATTATGCTACATCCCTGTATTGACTTGATTACCCTTTATAAAATAATCATTTGATAAAATGTATGAACACTGCCATTTGAAAATTATATGTTGTGCTTATAATTTTCTGAATGAATCCACTTACTCTTTTAAATGTCGAAAACTCTGTGACCCAGTATGTATACTCTTTTAACCTCAGTTGACAGGAAGCTCAGAGCTAACTACAATGCTCAAGTGTAATGACTATCTTATGTCAGGATTTTACTTTCTCCATAGGAAGAGTTCTTGAACTGGGGTTCAAGGAAACACAGGAAGAGGGTGCCTACATAGACTTCAAGATTGTTGGCAAAATGAAGTGCCAATTTTCATAGGTATGCTTTTCTGGGGAGATTTTGCACAGGCCCTTATCAGATCTTCAAAGGAGAATGGTCCATGAATGTTTTTGAACTCTATGGTTTCTTATCTCTTGACATCATTTTCACTGCCATCCTGCATATGGGCTTTTATTATAAACTGCCTCAATTCTTCTTATAGTACATCAGGTACCCATTAGAAATAAATAAACAATTAACTCATTAAAAGTTTATATTGAAAGGCACTTGGATATTTTTTTTTTTTGAGACAGAGTCTTGCTATGTATCCTGGGCTAGAGTGCTGTGGCATCATCATAGCTCACAGCAACCTCAAATTCCTGGGCTCAAGGGATCCTCTTGCCTCAGGCTGCCAGAGTATTAGGATTACAGGCATGAACCAGGCATTTGAATTTTCTTTGAGGATTGAGGGTAACCAGATTGATCCCTATAGAATTTGATGACTGTTTTGCACTCTTAAAGTGAAGAAGGTAGAGTGGATTGGACTAAATATGTACTGATCACTGGTTATCCCTTGGGGGTCTTTTTATATTCACTCCTTGCTTGTTTACCTATTATTGTCACTCTCATAACTATCAACAATGGGGCAGAGGAAAATTTGCATTAGTCCAACTTTCTGGGTCATAGTAAATCATTAGTGATATATCTCTGGATTAAATGCAATTGTAACATTTATTATTTTATTATATTTAAATGGATTTTATATTATTACTATTTATGCATTACCTGTGATACTCCTCTCGTACATTAACACAATGGAGATGTAACAATATAAATACTTGTTAGAAAAAATATTTTTTCTCATAACTTTATTTTAAAGATTAATAGAAAGAAAACATGGGCATAGTAAAAAAACACGCTTTAATATTTCAGTTTTTGCTTTCCCCTAACCCGAAGGTGCACAGCAAATGTTTCTAAATTAGCAAACTTGACTTGACAAAATAACCTGAAGCTCGATACCTACTTGATAGAAATAAATCTTTAGAACGTTTTGTCCTATTTGCTCCCTAAATCCCTTTAGTTAGCTCCTCTAAATGATCTGTTGCACAATCTACACCTTTAACCACGTTGGTACCCCGCTCACCGGCTGCGAAACCTTGCCCACAGCCGGCACTCACAGTCCGCACGACAGTTTGTGCTGTGCATGGACAACGAATCCGTTTTGCTCTTGCGTGATGAGGAAAGCTGTAAAGCACTGAAAGCTTGTTTTACTTTACAGGCAGCTTTACTTGTAATGTAAATCAGAATAGGTAACATATACATATATGTTTTCATTACGTTATTTTTAAATGTTCACAATTTTATTTTGATAAATGAAAAATTAGAAAAGTCATATCATGGCTGTCGGCCAAAGTCAATGCTGGGCTGTGCGCCTTAATATCACGGAAGTCGGCCGTCGCTGTGCGCGTTCATCTGTGGCTATCGACTACAGTCGGCTCTCCTACCAAAGTGATTAAAAAGTTAGTAGTCTGGTTTGGTCCATTAGTGATGGGACATGGTTTGTACTAAAGATAATCAAAATATCTGTCCCTGAGTCACAACAAGCATGCTCAGTGGCAGTTTAGGACATTTAATTACCATTACATTTAGCTTTATCATACAGACCTTGAGAGTACACTGAGCATTCATTTCCTTTTAAGTGCTATTTGAGAACTTAATGGACTTGTATAGATTTATGGTCCCTTTTCTTCTGTCCCTTGCTTCCAGTATCAGAGAGGGAGTATTTATTGAGTTATAAGGTAGCCAGAGAACAGAAATGCAATAATGGGGAAAATAATTTCTAAACATTATCTCCTTTATTCTTTTTCCCTTACTATTTACAGTACAAGGTAAAAATATAAGATATTTCAAGAAACCTGAGAGAATTTTCCCATAAAATAGCCTAAAGGCATGATACCAATAACCCAAAAAGACCCACCTGACACAAAATATTTTCCTATACGAAACTTTCACCTGTAGAAAACCATTCCCAAAATCGAAGACACTGTAGCCTATCATCTAAGGAATATTTGACCACTACTAGATTCTGACAAGTTGGTATGGTTTATTTTTATTGTCTTGCTTTACTTAGCAACCCAAGAGTGGAATAAGAGGGAACAGAATAGGATACAGCACATTTATTTTTAGACTTGATACTAGAGAAGCAACTAAGTAGTATAGACTGAGGAAAGAGAACTAAAAATACAGGTGACAAGCCAGCATGAAGGGACTGAACATCTTGAGGTTAAGAAAAAAGAACAAGAGATGTCAGAAGTTCACAAAAAGGTAATGAAAGGTAAAAGGTCACATACAATTGGATTCAACAAGTGCCATCAAAAGTTATAAACACAAGTGAAATTCTGTCATGAAGAGGTTGCAAGAATATGCCATATTTTCATAGCGTCTTGCCTGCTAGCTCTCCATACATTATTTGGCAAATAACTGAACTAATAGATCTGTGATACAGGTGAAAAAATGCAGGATACAGCCAAGTTGGGGACATAGCGGAACTGAGTAAACCCAGAGGGTACCAAACTTATCGGCACAAGTATCCAATCCAGGGGTCCTCAAACTATGGCCCACAGGCCAAATGCGGCCCACCCAGGACATTTATCCCTCCCACTGGGTGTTTTTGCTTCCACTGCCTGTCCTGCTTAGCAGGCTACTCATTCCGGGCCCACAGTGTGCATGTGTGGAATATGCGCTGCACTCTCCAAGGGCCATCCAACAGTCTGAGGGACAGTGAAGTGGCCCCGTTTAAAAAGTTTGAGGACCCCTGCTCCAATCAATGGAGCTAACCAGCCCTATTCTGGTCATACCGTGCTTCCCTGAAAATAAGACAGGGTCTTATATTTTTTCCTCAAGAAGACACCTTAGGGCTTATTTTCAGGGGATGTGTTATTTTCCCCTCAAAGCCTAAGCTTGCAGCACGCACAGGAAGGCCGGGACCTGACAGGGGAGCTGACCTTGTTGGTGGGGCTGCCTGCACCTTTCTGGTCAGTAGCTGCGACAGTAGCTGTCATGACAGTAGCAGATGAGAAGCTCTGCCGTCCTCTTTACCGCTCTGCTACAAAATGCATGGGTTGTGCAGATGCACTGCATAGCCACGCCCAGCACTAGGTCTTATTTTCGGGGTAGGGCTTCTATTGCCCAAATGCTTAGAAATCCTGCTAGGGCATATATTATGGGTAGGTCTTATTTTTGGGAAACATGGTAATTCCAGTGGCATCTGTATAAGCAAGCTCCCCGCAGGGCTCCCAAACAAAGTATTTCCAGACAGACTGCCTTCTCCCACAGGTGGTTTTATAACTGGATCTTATTGACCAGGCAAAAGTGTGAATGGAGGCACTGCAGGATGAGAGACATTTTTCCCACCAAATAGTTAGATTGTGCAGTTGGACTGAAGCTGGCCACAGATCAAATCCATTGAGAGTTCAAGTGACTTCCTATCTGCCTGCCCTCTGCTTCAAAATTAGTATAGTTATAAATAATTCTGTCCCTTCATTTGAAAATACCTCCTATTTCTACATTATCCTTTCTCTGTTCACTCTTAAGTCTTATGAATAGAAATTTAAGTATTTAAAGAACAATACTGGTTTTTAAGATTCTCATCTCTACTCCCTGGATTTAGATTTTTTATAAGGCT